AAGGTAAACATGAATGAGCAATCACAAGAGACTAAACAAAGCTAAACTGCTTACATTCTTATATAGGGAGATGATACATGTAGCCCCTTAGAACTCTATCATAATTGGGGGTCTTAGAGGTGATCTAATCAGACAGAGGTTCTGGAATTGCTTTTGTTATATTTTGATGATCTTAAAAGAGGAGTAGAAAGAAAGAAGAAGAGGAATAGGCTAGGTAAAGTGGAAGGGAGAGGAAGAATGGGGAAAATTATCTCACACAGATGGGATGCACAAATATATGTTTATACAACAAGGAGGAAGGAGTGTGTGAATGGGCAATACCAGGAACTGTGCTAAAAATTGAAAATACATAAGCATAAAGAAACTCCCTGCCCTCAAGGAGTTTACCTTTTAATGGGGGAAGATAATATATAAAAGGGAGCTAAAAAGTGTAGGCTTTGCGGGGGAGGGAGAAGGTATCTGGTGAGGGGACATGGTAGAGAAAGTACTGTGGAGATGGGCCAACAGTGTAACCTGGAAGGGGATGAAGACATCTTTGATCTAGGTCTCCTCATAATGGAGGTTCTGGGAGGAATCAACCAAGCAGTAGGTGAGGCCTCAGAGGTGGTGGCTACTTCCAATGTGAGAAGCAAGCCAGGGGTAGAGAGATCTTCCTGGGTGAAAAAGGTTTCTGCTGTATGGTAGAAAAAGTCCTGTTGTAGATGAAATAGCAATGTAGCCTAAAGAAGGAAATAGGAGGGGAAAGAGTTAAGGGAAGGGGGAGGAAAGAAAAGAGAAGGTATATGAAGGAAGAGATTAGTTAGAAGCAAAACAAGTCCTTAAGGAGTGAGAAGGAAAAGTATAAGAGAACAAGATGGAGGGAAATACACAATTAACAAACATAACTGTGAATATGAATGATATGAACTCACCCATAAAATGGAAGAGAATAACAGAATGGCTTAGAAACTAGAATCCAGCAATGTATCTTTTTATACTAGAAACAGAAAAATACGCACGGAGTTAAAATAAGAGGCTGAAGCAGAATCTATTATATTTCAGCTAAAGCAAAAAAAAAAAAGTAGGGGTAGAAGTAATGATCTCAGACAAAGCAACAACAAAAATAGACCTAATTACAAGAAATAAACAGAGAAATTACATTTTGCTGAAAAGTGCCTTAGACAATGATTTCAATTAATTAATTGTAATAATGCAATACCAAATATATATGCACCCAATGGCATAACATCTAAATTCTTAAAAGAAAAACTAAATTAGTTACAGGGAGAAATAGACAATAAAACCACAATAGTGGGGGAACCTTGATTTACCCCTCACACCTGGATAAATCTAACCAAAAATAAACGAAAGATAAATGAAGGATCTGAATGGAATTTTATAAAAATTAGATATGATAGACTTCTAGAGAATACTGAATGGGAAAATTGAGGTAGAGAATGTTGAACTGGATAGAAAGTAAACCTATCCTCAGCATGACTGCCTTCACAAAAAATTGACCATATTCTAAGGCATAGAAACGTCAGTAACAAATTCAGAAAAGCAGAAATACCAAATGTATCTTTTACATTAATTTACATTAATTAATGCAATAATTTGAACCTCTGGTATTGTGGCATTAATTAATTAATGCCATAAAGTGAGGTTGAACAAAGGGTCTGTGAAGCAAAGATTTAAAATGAATTGAAATTTTAATAACTTAAAACTAAAGAATGGGTGGGTCAAAGGACAAATTATGGAAATAATCAACAATTTCATTAAAGATAATGACAACATTGAGAAAGCATGCCAAAATTTTTCCAATGCAACCAAAGTAGTGCTTAGGGGGAAACACACACACACACACACACACACACACACACACACACACACACACTTGCGTCAATTGGAAAAGGAGAGAAGGAAGAAAGGAAGAAAGAACAGTTGATAAATTGGGTGTGCGACTAAAAAAATCTTGAAAACAAACAAAATTTTAAAAACCCAATTAAACACTAAAATAAAAATTCTGAAAATCAAAGAAGAGATTAACATAATTGAAGGCAACACCCCCCCATTAATGAACAAAACTCAGAGATTTCTTTTTGGAAAAAAAATCAATAAAATAGTTAAGTCACGAGTTAGCTTGATTTTACAAAGAAGGTAGAAAACAAAATTTCCAATATCCAAAAAGAAAAAGGTGGATTCATAACTAATAAATAAATTGTTAGGAGCAGTTTCACTACATGCCAATAAAACTAATAATCAAAATGAGATTGATGAATATTTACACAAATATAAATTGCCCAAGTTAACAGAATAAAAAGTAGAATACTTAAATAACCCTATCTTAGAAAAAGAAAGTGAATAAATCATAATGAAATCTTAAAGAAAAAAAGAAACCCAGGACCAGATGAATTTACAAGTGAATGCTACCAAATATTTAAAGAACAATTCATTCAATACTACATAAATTGATGGAAAAATAGGTAAAGAATGGGTCCTACCAAATTCCTTTTATGACACAAGTATAATCTTGATACCTAAATCAAGGACAATCAAAATAGAAAGAAAACTGTAGACCAATTTCCCTAATGAATATTGATGTAAAAATTTAAATAATATATTAACAAAGAGACTGCAATACCATGTTACTAAGATCATACACTCTGACAAGGCTGCATTTATACTAGGAATGCAGGGCTGGTTAGATATTAGGAAAAAAACTATAAATGTATTTGACTATGTTAATAATAAAAACAATAAAAATCATATAATTCTATCAAGAGAGGTAGAAAAGGCTTTTGACAAGATACAACACTTATTCCTGTTTAAAAACAAAACAAAAACCCAGAAAACATAAGAATAAATGGTGCTTTCCGTAAAATGATAAGTAGTCTGTATCTAAAACCAAAAGTCAACATTATCCGTAATGGGGATAGAAGCCTTTCCAATAAGATCATGGGCAAAGCATAGATGTCCATTATCAATATTATTGTTCTGTATGGGTCTAGCTATAATAATAAGACAAAAGCAAAGAAATTGAAGGAATAAGCATAAGCAAAGAATAAGCTTAAACAAAATGATCACTTTTAGAGAACTCCAGAGGGTCAATTGAAAAACTATGTCAAACAACTATCAACTTCCACAAAGTTGCAGAATAGCAAATAAACCCACAGAAATCATCAACATTTCTGTAAATTACTCACAAAATCCAGCAGGACAAGATAGGAAGATTTAAATAAGTACAGATGGAACAAACATTTGGAGTCTACTGCTGAGACAAATACAGGAACCATATGAATGTAATTACCAAACACCATTTATACAAATAAAGACAGACCTAAGTAAGTGGAGAAATATTAATTGCTTATGGGCAGCTGAGCCAGCATAATAAAAGTGATAATAGTACCTAAATTAATTTATTTATTGAGTGCTATATCAATCAAACTATTAAAAAATTACTTTCTAGAACTATAAAAAAATTTATCTGGAGGAACAAAAGGTCAAGAGAATCAAGGAAATTAAAGAAAAAATGTGGGAAGGTTGGTGACTTAGCATTATTGTTCAGTCTGACTCTTTGTGACTCTGTTTGGGGTTTTCTTGGCAAAGATGCTTTGTTATTCCTACTTCAGTGGACTAGGCAAACAGAGGTTAAGTGACTTGCCTAGGGTCACACAGCTAGTGAGTGTCTGAAGTCTGATTTGAACTCAGGTCTTCCTGGCTCCAGACCCAGAGCTCATCACACTGAGCCACCTAGAGACCTAGCATTCCCACATCTCAAACCGTATTTTTTTCTTTTGTAAAATATATTTTTATTTATTTCATTAAATATTTCCCAAGCACATTAAATATTTATAAACATCATTTAAAATTTTTTTTGAGTTCCAAATTATCTCCCTCCCTCCTGCTACTTTAGCTATCTTAATAACAAAAGCAATAAAAATAATATAACATCAAGAGATGCAGAACAAGCTTTTGACAAGATACAACATGTATTCCTGTTTAAAAAATGAAACAGAAAGCATAAGAATAAATGGTACTTCCCCTAGAATGATAAGTAGTCTCTATTTAAAACTAAGAGTCAACATTATCTGTAATGGCAATAGGAGAGAAAAGGTAAACAATGTGTTGTCAAACATATGTATGAAGTCATACAAAACATATTTCCATGTTAGCCATGTTGCAAAAGAAAACACACACAAAACAAGAAAAGTAGGGAAGTTTTTAAAAAGTACTTTTTCAATATGCATCCAGAGTTCACCAATTCTCTTTCCACACCCCAAATAGTCCAAAGAAAAAGGGCAAGGACCCATATGTACAAAAAATATTTGTAAGAGCTCCTTTTGTGCTGGCAGAGACTTGGTAACTGAGGGGATGCCCATCAGTCATGGAATGGCTGAACAAGTTATAAATGTGATGGAGTACTATTGAATGTAAATCTGAAGACTCAATAATAATTATGTTCAGGAGCAGCTAGATGGCGCAGTAGATAGAGCACCAGCCCTGAGTTCAGGAGGACTGAGTTCAAATCCGGTCTCAGACCAGACATCAGACACTTGACTCCTACTAGCTGTGTGACCCTGGGCAAGTCACTTAACCCCAATTGCCTTGAGAAAAACAGAAACAACAAAGAATAGTTGTGTTCAGATATTTGGAGTTTTGTAAGGGGATTAAACTGGTTCTCCTTAGTTCTGAAGGGTAGAGTCCTAGTTCTACCTGGGAGCAAAGAGGTGGGGTGGGGGGGGGTGGAGTGCAGTTTTTAGAGAGTCAGTGTTAGGATTTCTGTAAGGAATAACTTTCTAATAATCAATGACATCAAGAAAAGTCTAATAAATCAGTCAAAAAGGATTTATTAAGTGCCTACTGTGTGCCAGGCATTGTGCTAAGTGCTGTGGCTACAAAGAAAGGCAAAAAATAATTCCTGCCCTCAAGGAGCTTACATTTTAATGAGGAAAACTAGAATTCAATGCCGAAGTAGATACAAGATACATAGAAAGGATATGGAATGAATAGATAACAGAGACTCTGGAGAAGTGATTCTTTTGCTGGGATGGATCAGACTTCATGCCCACTGAGGTCTCTTCTAGCTCTGAAGTTCAGTGATGCCTCCTGATTTTCCTGGGAGATGGTGGAGAATCCCCCCTACTTTGTGATGGGTTGATGAGTGATTCCAGGGCCCCAGTGCCCACTCTTCTCCAGCCCTCAGACCTTTGACCCTTGTTAGGTCAGCCCCTGGATGAGCCAGACCTCTCTCGGGCAAGCTGCTTGAACTGAGACAGGATGGGCTCAAAAAGGTCATAGTAGATTTGGTGTGTGGCACTGTGTTTCCGTATGTAAAGAAGGTCATCCACAGTCACTGGGTCCGAGGCGCTCTGCCATAGGGTCAGGCTGTACCTGGAGCCAGGAGAGATCTACATCAACCACAGGGTCCTCCCCCTCAGAAGCCCACAACAAAGGAACCTGGTTCCGGGCTGTGGAGTGCTAAAGTGGACAGCTCACATTTCTGTCCTCAGCTGATGCCTCTGGGGGAGGAAGTACAATTATCCCCATTTTACAGATGAGGAAACTTAACCTTGGAGAGAGAAGGGGGCTTGCCCACAGGACACATAGCCAGCAAATGACAGAGTCAAGTTTTCTACCTGAAAGTAAATCCAGAACTCCTTCCACCATATATACCTCAGGGTGCCTCCCTGTGCTTCCCCAGCTGGGCTCATCTATTCCACCTGCCTAGTGATTGCTTACAAAGTAACAGAGGTAGAGATGAGAGAATGCATCTTTCCCTTCTTTGATGGGAGACTATGGATGTGGAGTGCTGCATATATTATCAGACTCATTTAATGTGTTAGTTTTACTTGAAGTGCTCTCTCCCCCTCTTATCCTTTTTCTTCTTGTTTACAAGAGAAAGCTTGCTAGGTGGGGAGGAAAAGGGATATATTCAGAAATTAAGGTGATGTAAAGACAGAAGGTATCAAATAAACATTTTTAAAGAACTATGGAGCCTCAGATGGAGAGATCCCCATAGGTTGGGAGCAGGGCAGGAACTGGGAAAGACTTCACAGAGGGATTACATGGCGATTGAGCCAGGCTTAAGATGGATGGAATTTGGCAGTAACTGTAACAGTTCACATTTACTGTATCATTTACTAAGTGTTTCTTCACAACCACTCTGTGCGGTAAGAAGTGCCACATTGGACAGATGAGTAGACTGAGTCCCAAAGATGGGAGTGACTTAGCCAAGGTCACAGCTAGAAAGTTGGCAGAGCAGAGATTAGAAGCCAACTCTCTTGAGGCCAAGCCCAGGGTGCCCTCTAAACAGATCTTGGTGCAATAGCTGACGATTTCCTGGTATGTTCAATTCTCATTGACCAGCCCTAGTATAGAGAGGATATTGAATTCATGGTGAGAAGAGCTGGGTCTGAGTGCCATCTTCACCATGGCTGGGTAACCATGGGCAGGTCTCTCTACTTTTCTGAATTTCAGTTTCCACCTCTGTGAAATGGGGGTAATAGCGCCTAGTCTGCCAGTCTCTCAGACAAAGTGACCGAAGCATGGCTTGTCTGTGAAAAATTCTGTACAAACAAAAGGAATTATGGATCCCCAAAGCTATAGACGCCTCTCTCCTGCTCTCTCTGTCTTGAAGGGTCAAACAGAACAAGAGTCCTCTCATCAGCCTGGATTGTTGGAGTTGACTCTTGGCCTTGTAAGCGGGCAGGACTTATAGGTAACGGAACGCAATAGGCCCTAACTCTGCCCAAGGGGATTTAGGGTGGAGAAGGGGAAAGCTGGAGATGATCCAGAGAAGGGCAATCAGAATGGCCCAGGGTCGGGGGATGTTTAAGGTGGAGAAGAAAAGACTCCAGGGATATGAAGCCAGCCATCATACATTTTTAGATTTGTTTGCTTGCCCTTGGAAGGCAGAAATAGGAGCAATGAATGAAAGTTGTTAAGACGCTAATTCTGTCTCAAAGCAAAGAAAGCCCTCTGATGAATGGAGCTGTCCAAAAGCGGAATGGATGGCCTTAGGAGGTCTTTGGTTTCCCCATCACTGAGAGCCTTCAAGCACGGCCTGGATGACCGCGTGTTAAGGATCCTAGACCTAGAAGGTCCTCCAGACCTAGAAGGGATCTCAGAGGCCGTCTGGGCCACCCCCAAACTGTAGGTTCAAATCTTGCCTTAAAAACTCACTAGCATTTCACCCTGGAAAAGTTGTTTAACCTCTCTCAGCCCATTTCCACATCTATAAAATGGGCATAATCATGACCCCTACTTCTCAAGGTTGTTGTGAGGATCAAATAAGATAGGTTTGTAAAGAGCTGTGCAAACCTTAAAGTGCTCTAAAAATTCTAGTTATTATGATTATTTATGCTTTTATTTATTGCGTCATAGAGGGAATTATTTTCCAAGCATGGGTAGGCAATTCTATAATGGACTGGGCAACTGGACTCTGAGGTCATTTGGGATTACACTGGACACGGGTGAGTATAGAGCCGAAGGTGGGTAAATCAGTCCTGAGGGGCAGGAGACTGAGGGTTGGCCTGTGATGTATGGTGCCTCCTATGTGTCGTACACTGGAAAGAACATGGAACTGGAGTCTAAAGAACTGGGTTTAAACCCTGCCCCTGACACGTACAACCTGTGTGACCTTGGACAACTTCTCTGGGCCTCTATTTCCCCATCTGTGAAACAAGGAGGTTGGACTAGGTCCCTTCCAGCTCTAAATCTATAATGCTCTGATCCTCGTCAGGAACCCTGACAAATTGACTCTCTGTAGCCTCACAAATCTTTTTTTCTAACCACGTGTCAAATACCCCAAGGGCAGATTACAATACTACAGGTTGCTAAGCCAAAGTGAGCTTACCTTATGTGAAGGCCTATCTCTGACAGTGGAGGTGGGGGAGGAAGCAGAACTGGGAGGTCTTCCAAAAAAAGATCCATGGAATGTTAGGTAGATGGTACCACCCATTTTACTGATAGGGAAACGGACTTATAAGCAACTTAAATGACTACACAGCCAGCTATACAGTGGTATAACTGAGCCTTGGGCCCCCTTCTCCTGACACTCCATCCAATGTGTTGTGCTCTGGGCTCTCTACCTTACCCCAGTGGTTATGGGGTCAACGTGACACACTGTAAAGTATGCTGGGCTTGGAGTTAGGAGAGACCTGAGTTTGAATCCCAGCTTCAGTATTTATTAGCTATGTGACAATAGGTGAATGGCTCTGAACCTCAGTTTCCTCATGAGTGAAATAGGGATAATAATGCCTATAATACCTCGAAGGGTTGTTGTATGATTAAATGAGATATTTGTAAAATAATTTTCAAACTTACAAATGACATCATGGGGTGATGTCTTAACTCTCACATGAATTGGATTTAAGTGAGACAGAACTGCACAGAGCTGTGAGCCTCACTCTCTCTTCCAGAGTCATCAAAGTTCAGTGGCAGGACAAAAGTCAAGATGACAGGATGGTCCAGGATCCAGTGGATGAATATTTCTTAAGGCACTTTATAAATGCTAGTCACAGCAGCAGCAGGAGCTGCAGATCTAACCATATCACTCCTCTATTCAATAAACCTCACTGGCTCCCTATTGCCTCCAGGATCAAATGTAAATTCCTCCATTTTGCTTTTAACTGTGAGCTCTTTGAAAGCCTTTCTTTCTATCTCCATCTTAGCATAGTGCCTGGCACATAGTAGGCACCTAATAAATGCTGGTTGACTGACTGCTTATAGTCTTTCACAACTTGGCTCCAATGTTTCATCCTCATTGTATTGTTATTAAAATCACCACCACTACCCCCCCACCATCATCATCATTTATCACCCCCCACCACCATCATCTTCATCATCATCACCACCACCATCACCATCATCATCACCATCCAGAGTTAAGACTTGAACCCAGGCTCACACCAGGTCTCTACCCACTATCCCATGCTGCCTCTCAGGATGCCAACTGTGGGGCTGTCAGCCAGGCACCTTGTTAGAGACGCTTTCTTCAAAGGCCCGAGGGAGAAAGGGACACAGAGACATCCTGGCTGCCTTTCCATGAATCAAGAGAAGTAGATACTCATAGAAACTTTTCCTGTCAGGGCAGTTTTCTAGGGAGTTCAGAGGATGTGGCCATGCACCCTCAGACTTACCTGGATCTGTCATTCATCTTGCAAACAACTTGACATGCCATCCACCTCTGACAGCCTAACTACACACTTCCCCTACTGGCCAGCAGTGGTAGTGGCACGCAGCCCTGCTGCGTCAACTGGCCGTAGAGCTGACAGTGTGAGTGATCATCAGTTCTGCTCCTTGCCCATGTCCCCAGTGCTTAGCATAGTGCCTAGTACACAGTAGGTGCTTAATGCATGGTTATGGATTAACTAATTGATCTTGGTGCTCTCACCTCTCAGACTGACTCAGGAGCCAGCTAAAATGGGACCAGGCAGCTCTCGCCATGACGGCCCACACCGGGAAGGTCACTTTCTGTGGCAGGGCCTCCACCAGACTGTGCATCTTCTCGATCATATCCTGGGTATAGGTACTGTTGGGAGTGAAGGGGGAGTAGAGAGTGGTCCAGCCCACAGACAGGGTGGCATCAGGGTACTTTTCTTGGACCAGGGACAGAAACCTGGAAAGAGAAGCAGATGATGCTTGAAACTTGGGCCAGACTTTTACTTTCTCTGAGCCTCAGCTTCTTCTTTGTTATGATAATTCTCTCAGTCTTCACCTTTCTCCACCTCTCTGTAATGTCCTGCTACATTCTTCAGCAGTAGCATCACACTCCCTATGTGTCCTTTCACCAACCTGCTGGCAATCCCATCAAGGCCTGTGGGTTTGCAATGGTAGAATATTGGACTTGGAATCAGGAAGTCCTGAGTTCAAATCATACTTTGGATACTTACCAGCTGTGAGACCTTGAGCAAGTCACTTAGTTACACTCAGAGTCAGTTTCCTCAACTGTAAAATGGGGTAATAATAGAACCTACCTCCCAGGGTTATAGTAAGGATCATATGAGCTATTGTGTGTAAAGTTCTCTGCAAACCTTAAATTGCTATGTTCATTCTAGTTGGTGTTATTCTTACTTTTATTCAAATACTCCCAAACCAACACGTCCAATCCTCATTTCTCTTCTGAGATACAGTCCTGCATCACTAACTAACTACAGACCAGAGAGTAATATAAATAATATATATTCTTCACTTTCATATCCCAATTCAACAATAATGCTAGCATTTGTATAATACTTTAAAGTTTGCAGAATGCTTTATAAATATTATCTAATATAATCCTCACAACATCCTGATTTTACAGTTGAGGATACTAAGGCAGAGGTTAAGTGACTTACCCAGGACCACAGAGATAGCAAGTGTCTGAGGTGGGATTTGAACTCAGGTCTTTCTAACTCCAAGCACAACCAGATGCCTCAACTTGGCCAACAGATACTGCTCCCAACTTCCTTGTTTCTTCTGAGAGCATCACTATCCTTCTATTTATTCAGGCTAGCCACTTCTAAGTCATTTTCAAGTCTTAACTCTCCCTCACCTACTGTACAGTAGGAAGGAAGGAGGGAAAGAAGAAGGATGTTAGGAGGATAGAAGGAAGTTAGGAAGGAAGAAAGGATATTAGGAAGAAAGGAAGAAAAGAAGGAAGGAAAAAAGAATGAAGCAAATCAGGAAGGAAGGAAAAAAGAAAGAAAAGATGTTAGGAAGAAAGGAAGGGAGGAAGAAAATAAGAAAGGAAAGAAGAAAAGAATGAAGAAATTCAGAAAGGAACGAAAAAAGGAAGGAAGGAAGAAAAAAGGAAGCAGGGAAGTTAGAAAGGAAGGAAGTTAAGGAAGGAAGGAAATTAGAGAACAGAGAAAGGAAGGAAGACAATTAAGGAAGGAAGAATTTATTAAGCACCTACTATGTGCCAGGCCCTATGCTACAAAGCACCTCTATACCCAATCTGTTGACGTCCTGTTCATCCCATCTACATGACAGCCTTTGCATCCATGCCCTTTCCTCTCCTATTAAGGTCACCTCCCTGGTGGAGGCCCTCATCTCTTCACCTGTATTATTGCAAAAGTCCTTAATTGAGAGCCCTGCACCAGTGTTCCCCTTCCCTTTCCCCGCACTTTCAAATTCTCTAAAGCCCAGGTCTGGCTGCATCACTCCCGCATTCCAGAAGCTTCAGTGACTCCCTGCTGCCTCTAGGATCAAGTCCAAACCCCTGTCTGACATTTCAAGCCCTTTACAATCTGGTGTTCTCCTCTGTGCCCTCTGTCATATGGGGCATTCATCTCCCACTCTCTCTATTTTTAAACTGGTAAGGATATCCCTCTTTCATCTCCCATTCCTGATCTGCTGTCCTTCATCTTTTCCTCTGGGAAGCCTTGGCCCCCTTCAAACCTCAGGACAAGGGCTACCTCCCATCTGAGGCTGCTCCTGATACCCCCACCCAGCTGTGGATATCTCCCCCACCCCCATTAATTCTCTATTTACCTTTGTAAGATTTACATCCCAAAGGGTCTCCTTTCCCACAAGCACCCCTGGTTCTGGACTAGAGACAAGCCCATATTCAATCCTGGGCAAGTCTGACCCTTAAAGGATGGGGGAGGGGAAGGGCTTCTTTTTGCACTTTAATGCATGAAATGTTCTTTTCCTCCCAGCAGCCTTCTTGCTTTGGAAGATCCCTCTGCCCCTGTGGCCCCTTCCTGTGAATGATCATTTCCTCCTGGAACCTCCAGTTTAAGGCCCTCAAGCCATCCATGACACACCACTCCTCTCTGGGCCCTGCTCCTGACTTTCTGGACTTTTTCTTCCTCTGTGACCCCTTCCCCCTGGTCACCCACCCCTATTTCTCAGCTTCCTTTTATGTGCTGTTTCCCCCATTAGAATGTAAGCTTCTTGAGGGCAGGGATAGTGTTTCTTTTTGTTTCTGTTTGAATCTCTACCTTAGTACAGTGCCAGGAACATAGTAGGTACTTAATAAATGTTTATTGACTATCTAATGCCCTCAATGTATAGTTTCATCCTCAGAATATATTGCCCTCCTTTCTCTACTCCACTTTAGTCTAGCTAAACTGGTCTTTCTCTTCCTCACGCTTGGTGTTCCACCTCCCATCTGAGTTCCTTTGCCCAACTGTCCTTCCCACTCTCTACCTCCATGCTGGTTCCTCACCTCTGCTGACGCATCCAGTTCTGCCTTTCCTGATCCTTCCAAATGCTAGTATCCTCCCTCCCTGACTATCATGGATTCAATTACCTTGTATTTCTTTCCTAGTTATCCTATATCTATTTATTCTGAGTGCAATTGTATATGAACACATCACTCAATAAACATTTATGCAACACACTATCTGTCTTGATTGAGTAGAAGCTCCATGAGAGGAGGGATTTTTTTTCTCACTTTTTTGTATTTGTATTCTAGTGTTTGGCACGTAGCAGCTGTGGAATGTTCTCAGCACCTAGGACAGTGCCTGGCCCATAGCAACTGATGAGCTTGTTAGTTGATAGAGTGAGTGATTTTGATTGTGTTTACATAACTCCAAAAAAAAAAAAAGTATTTTATCAGACCTCGTTAGGAGTATTCCATCCCTGGCCGAGAGTCCGTCACTTTTACATCTTAAATTATGATTCAGAAATCAAAATCCCATCATCATCAGACACCATCTTCTTAACTAATTCTTCACTTCCCAAATCTGCCTTTTCTGAAGCTCTTGCCTTAGGTCTTCTGATTTTTGACCATTGCCCTTAGCTTTCCACCATCTGTAATTATGCTCAAGTGAGTCACTGAAATGCCTTCAGATGCTCCCCCCCACCTCTAGCGTACATTCTCTGGGACGCTGCTGGACCTCTCCTGGTTGTCTGGTTGGTGATCACTGATAGGTTCTCCTCCTTGTTCTACTCCTCCTTCCATCTCTCTCCTGATCAATTTTGGGAATCAGGAATCCACCCCATCTTGCCTTAGAGCATGAGCAGCTGGTGCTCCCTCCTTAGAGGATCCAGCTCTCCTTCCAGTCCTTACACAAAGAGCCCCAGATCTATTCATCAGCTTCAATGTTTCTGGTGTTTTGTTTTTTTTCTTCACTGACCTCTGGACATTAGTAGACATAGCCTTCCCCCTTTTCAGGTCCTTTTCCTCTTTTCTTTGAATAGAATCAGATCCTTCCTAAAATGTCTTTCTTTTACCTAGAAGTCCTTCCTCCATTTTTTTCAAGGAGCATTTAATTCACCCTGAGAGCATAAGAAAATCAAATGACACCCCTGAAGCCTCTTTACCTTGTTTTCCAGGAATGAAATCAAACTGCACTTTGTGAAAAGATAGCAGTTACTTGGCCATGGCAGGTCTGGGCACATGGTAGGTGCCCAGTAAAGATTTGTGGGTGGAATGTTGAGGGAGCAGAGTGGTCATTGCCTCAACCTTTAGAAAATGGCCTTAGAAATTTGGTCAGTGAGGAAATCAGTAGCTTGTCAGGGTGGAAAAAATAATGTCCTCCAATCCTCATTGTACAGGTAAGGAAACTGAGGCATAGGGAGATTTAAGTGACTTTCGTAAGGTCATACAACCATCAGAGATAGAATTTGAATCAGGTTTTCTGACAGAACCAGTGCTTTTTTCCCTATACTTTACTTTGATGAATGTAAGCTCTTTGAAGGTAAGAAATATTTGATTTTTATCTTTGGGCACCTAGCATAGTGTCTGGCACACAGTAGGGACTAAATAAATAAATGTCTATTGAATTAAGTTTGAATCATGGGAGTTTATAGGTTTGGAAGGAAATTTTATTTGGATTCAAGGGATCTGAGTTCAAATCTTGTCACTGCTACTTCCCTTCTATGTAACACATAACCTTGAGCTTGTTGCTTAACCCTTCTGGGTCTCAGTTTCCTACTGTGTAAAATTGAAGGAGGGAATGAAATGGTATCAAAGGTCTCTGCCAGCCTTAAATCCCCAAATTCTATGATTATATGATCACTCAGATTATATGATGTCAAGAGATAAGCAATTGCTCTGACCCAGTTTTTTTTTCCAGCTCTCTCTCTGCTCACATTACCTTGTATTTACTTGTCTACATCTATCTCATGTCTTTCATTCCCCATCCCTTCCCACAGAGAATATAAGCTCTTTGAGGGGAGAGAAGACTTCAATTCTGTCTTCGTATTCACTGTGCCTTGCATACAGTAGGTACTTAATAAATGCTTTTCGAATTGAACTAGAGTCTCCGCGTCAAACTCAGTCTGTGCCTCTGATAGAGAAATAGATGGATACAGACAGATGAAGATAGACAGACAGACAGAACATTTATTGACCACTCACAACATGCCAGGGACAGTGCTAAGCACTAGAAATGCAAATACAAACAAAAAAAATAAATAAAACCAGTCCCTATGCTCAGGCAATTGCATTCTAAAGAGAGAAGACACCACACAAAAGGGAGCTGGGGGAGGTTACTCACCAAGGAAGGCTGAGCAAGCACATGAATTCTCCTGTTCTCATTCAGTCTCCCGAACCTTCCCCGAGTACCTGTGCCAGTAGACTGATGGTCTAGACTCGGGGGAGAGGAAGGGAAGGAGAGAGATCCAGCCAACACTCCCAAAGCATTCAGAGAAGAGAGGAACCATTGACTCACCGTGTGGCATTGACAGCAATGGGGATAGGCACGTTGGGGCCGTTCAGGATGTCGGCATTGATCCACACAGGCCTCTGGACCTTCCCGTCCTCTGTCTGCTTCCTCAAGAGATCCAGAGAAGGGCCAACTGCTTGGATGCTCTTGAAATCCAGTTTGATGCCTGGCAAAGAACACAGAGATGGTTTGGAAGGGCTTGGGAAGGTTAAGAGAACTTAAAATGCTCCTTTCTGGAGAGTAAAGCAGTGAAGAGAAAACTGGACTGGGAATCCAGGAGGACTTGAGGTCAAATCCCTTCTCTGACGCTGTGTAAGACCATGGGCAGGTTACTCTTTGAGCCTCAGTCTCCTTGTTTGTAAAGTGTGTACAACTGTATTCATAGTAACTATCTCATTGCACTGTGGTGAAGATGTAATGAGATAATATAAACAAAGTGCTTGGTACACTTTAAAGTACTATGTTAATATAGATCTGACATTCTAGGTTCTATGTTCTCAGGCCCCTCCCAGCTCTGACATGGGAGAGGCCAGACAGTAAGGCTTGATTATAAGGAGGCCATCGTCAGTAGGATGCCGATAACTCCTTGTACTAGTACTATGCTTTACAGCTTACAAATAACTTTCACCAGATTCTCTCATTTGCAGGTGTTGTCTCCATTTTAAAGATGAAAGAATGAGGCTTATACAGAAATTTAAGGAGAGAACCAGAAATAAAATGTTACGTTGTAGAAAAGTTGCAGCTTCCTTTTTCTCTCTTGTGGCCATGGACAAATCCCCTAATATCTCTGGACCCCACTTTTCCTCATCTGCAGACTTCTGAAAGTTTTCTATGATCTTATGAATCACCTGGGATTCTGGCTTCTCAGCCAAGCTCTTTCCAGCGGACAGCATGGGGATGATATCTGAGCACTGAAAGCTCCAGGACAATCAATCAATCAATAGGTATTGAGTGCCTACTATGCGCCAGGCACTGTGTTAAGAGGCCAGGGCTGTTACCTTTTATTGATCTGGTCAATACAGCTTCCAGCCAGTGTTCCAAGGTGTTGTTGCTGTAGATGGCAGGGGGGTGGGCCATGATCGGGACCCCCGTCTCATTGTCTGTATTCAGCCCTTCCACATTGACGTCTGCTTCCAGTACCATGACGTCACCTATGTCCCAAAGGGGAAGAAGAGTAACAAGGAGGAGAATAGCTCCCTGCCCCCATTCACAACCCCAGCCCTGAATACCCTTGCTGCTGAAATCGGGGCTAGACAGCTGGCCCTGTGCCTGGACGGGATGTGGGGTTCAGGGGGTTCAATATCTGCTGGGTTCCATCGACTCCTCCTGACCAGTACCAAGATCCCCTGAGAGGCAATGTGATGTATGGGAGAGTGTGCTAGATTTGTAGTCAGAAAGACCTGGATTCGAATCCCTCTTCTGACCTTTTCTAGCTGTGTGACTCCAGGCAAGTCACTTAATAGTGACCACATAGACAGGTTTAAGGTTTCCAAAGCACTTTCACATATATCACCTCATCTGATCCTCACATCTTCCCAAGAGGGTATGTTCTACTATTATCCATAACTTCTTATAACAATTTCTCTGGGCCTCAGTTTCTTTCTCTGTAAGATGAGAAGGTTGGATTAGATGACCACTGACATCCCTTTGGGCAGCTAAGTGGTTACCACCTGGAGTCAAGAAGACCTGAGCTCAAATTTGGCCTCACTTACTAAGTGTGACCTTGGATAAGTCATGTATCCCTGTTTGCCTCAGTTTCCTCATCTGTAAAATGAGCTAGAGAAGGGAATAGCAAACCAAGTCTTTGCCAAGAAACACTGAACAACAAAAAACCCTACAAAGATGCGTCCCTCTCTTTGCTAACTTGGCTTTTGTTAACTGTGGTTCAATGCCCTGCCCTGAAGAAACTCTATGACTCATTTAATTTAATTTACAAACTTTTAGAAGGAGCAGGCTTTCTGAGTTCAAGACACTAAGGTTACAAGGACAAAAGGGAAAAATTGTCCCTGCCCCCAGGGAGCTTCCACTCTTCTAGGGGACACAGTGTGCACACAGATAAGTAAACTCAGGGCATTTGGAAGAGAGAAAGAAGCCTAGAACAGCTGAGGGAATGGGGAAAGGCTTCCTGTAAGATGCAGCACCCAAACCTAGCCTCAAAAGGGACTAAAGATTCTGAGAGGTGCAGTTGAAAAGGGAGCATTTTCCAGGCATGGTGGCATAGCCCATGCAGTGGCACGGAGGTGGGGAATGGCATATCCAATTCAATGAATGGCAAATTTGTGGTTGATGTCATGAACTGCCATAGGAAAGAGATTTGGAAAGAATGAGAGAGGTTTCTCCACCCCCAAACCCCCAACTGACTCTCATATGCTGACAAGCTCCCATTAAGGAAATGGCATGATATAGTGAAAACAAAAATGCTGAACTTGGTTCACATCCCAGCTCTGACACTGAGATGTAAGACCATGGATAAACCACCTAGCCTTTTTGACCTCAGCTTTCTCTTCTATAAAATGGGCATAAAAATAACTGTCCTCTATACCTCACAAGGTTGTTACAAAGGAGTCTGGTAGATGACAGGGTGAGCTTGCGTTTTGATTGGCCATATATGGATGTGAAAGGCCAGGAATGTGCTTAGAAGGCTAGCAGAGACAATGACCTTTGTCCCCTGGACTTAGTGTCTTCTCTCTGTCTTTCCCCACCCGCTCATCTACGTGGGAGAGAAGAATTTTTTTTGGAATTAAGAAACCAGAAGACCGTGAAATCCCAGGACCCTTGGCTGGCTGTGTTGAGTGAGTGGCAACCTGCCTGGGTATAGGCATAACTAAGCCTTCAGACATTAAAATGGGGATGCGTACCCAAACCTGAGACCTCTCCATTCCCTAGCCCCTGCCCCTGCTCCAGCTATATTCTGCCCCCTTTCTCTCCTGGCATTAGGGAAGTCTCAAGAATAGCCCCATCCGTGGAGGCACAAAGTTACTTCACCTACTGGTACAAGTAAAGGAGGAGGTGAGAGATGGGAAGGTGAGGAGAGGAATCTTAAATCCTTCTTTGTCGCAAGTTTAGTGGCCTCTGGAGTCCTAGCACCAAGAATAGAAGAGATTTGAGAATCATTGGGTTAGATTGAGTTCACCCCTGGGAGATCCAAGCCCTGCAACCTGGACGTTCAGGCCAAAGGGAAGACGAAGCCTGCAGACATTAGCTACAAAGAAGAAAAGACCCCACTTTGTGTCAGCTGATGTCTGTACCCCAGCTAGTGAATCTCTGGCTGGGGTCTAAAAGCCGTCTATCCATCACTCTGGAAAGGAACAAGGTAGTCACTCCTCAGAGGAAAAACACTGAGAAGGGGCCTTTCCTAGGGCAAGCTGGTGCTGGTCCCAGAGTTGAGGCAACTGAGACGGTTTTTCTCAAAGACTTATGGGTCTTATAGAAGTGTAAGTGTATAGAAGAGTATTAAAGGATTTATGAAAGTCTCTGGCTTTGAACTAAGGGCGCATACAGTCTTATTCGACTCTTTGGGGCCCCATTTGGGGTTTTCTTGACAGAGATACTGAAGCAGTTTGCCCTTTCCAGCTCATTTTACAGATGAGGAGACCGAGACAAATTGAGTGACTTGCCCAGGGTCATACAGCTGGTAAATGTCTGAGGCTGGATTTGAACTCAGGTCATCCAGACTCCAGGTAGGTGCCCTATCCACTATACCACTTAGCTGCCCTGAATACAATCTACTCTTCTTGTAAGGAAAGAAGACTTTAACTGAGGCCAGAAGCTGTGAGCGGACAGATGTGTCTCATAGCCGGGAGCGGCCAGCAGGCAGTGTGTGTCCAGGTTGGCCGGAGTGGACACCACACACCCAGCATAGACTCAGTCTGGAGCAGGAGGCCTGGCATGGTGGTGAATGAGACTTAACCTCTGTGAAGACTTCTCAGGGTGGTGATGAAAAGACTGTCTCGAAACTAGAGATAGGCTCTGAGAGAACCAACAGGCCATAAGTTTAATTCGGCCCTAAACCCCCTCCTGATTGCCACTGCCCATCAGCATTAGGTATACTAAATAAGGACATGTATGTTTGGATTGGCTATACCCTGTTTCCTTGTTCTTTGGGAATGGAGAAGATTTTCGCACCTAGAATGTGAGCCTGCCTCCCAGCCAAGGGGAGTAAGGGATAGTGGCGGGGTGGGAGTTTCTGGTTTGCGTAAGATATATAACCTTACTTTGTCCTTTGTGCCTCGCCTTTCTCCTGCTGGTAGTGGACTGGAGGAGTAGACACCCCTTCTCGTGAGATTGTAATAAAGAGTAATTTTTGCTTCCTTGAGAAGTCTCTGAGTTTAATTGTGTTAGAGTCACTGTACCACACAGTGGGTAAGCCAACAAGACCCAGGCTCCAGCTCTGCCTCTGATTTATTGGCTGGGTGACCCTAAGGAAGTTATTTAACCCCATGCCTAGCCCCAGCCTGGAGAAGACTCAGGGGGAATGGAAGTGAAAGAGAAATTTCAGCTTGGCCCGCAGATCAGGACGAGAAGCAAAGGGTGAAAGTGCAGACAGGCAAATTTAGGTTTATGTAAGAAAATCCTCCCACCAGTTGGAGCCTTCTGTACATGGAATGGGTCCCTGGAGGGGGTGGGCTCCTCCCCCCTGGAGGGGTTCAGCAGCCGTTGGACCACCCTTTGTCTGATAACATAAAGGGAATTCTTGGTTCAGTACAGGTTAGACCAGCTGGCCCCTGGGGTCCCTTCTGCCTTTGGGGTTCAACCCTTCTGTGAAAATCTCTCCCCCACCCACTAGGAGTTCGTATCTCTATTGCCTTCCTTGGAGACAATGATAAGATGTTTCCATGCTATCATCAAAGGCCCAGAGTCCAAACTCTAGTTTTTCCCCTGAGGTCTGCAGAGAAATGACTTGCCCAAGATCACTGAGCACATCAGTGGACGGGCTAAGATGAGATCCAGGCCTCTTGACTCCCAGGCTAGGGGGCTGGCCACCAGTCCTCCCAGTATCTTCTCTATGGCCCTGGATTTGCCTATTCACACTTGTCTACAAGCCTTTCTCAGGAAAGATGACCTTTCTCTGCACCCCCTTATCATCAGGAGATAAGATTTCCACAGTTAAACCAGAGTTCAGTATCAGTCTAGTGAGGTCTTATGACCTCAGTGAGAAGCTTGTCTACCCTCCTTATCACTCAGGGTGGGGTCATCCCTCCTATTTATTGGGAGAGAATTCTCCGGGCCTGGGAAAAACAACTCGCTCCACCTGACCTCGAGGATATGCTGGGTTCTAACACAGCATTCTGTGGTCCCTGCAAGCTCAAACCTTCTCTGTTCTGAGCCCCGTCCCCTCCCACACCCCTGACATTCTCTGTTCTAAGGTGTCCCATCGCCACGCTATTTCTGACATTTTGTCTTCTAAGTTTTCTCCTATCTGATATTCCCTGTTCCCAAGCCCCTCCCAGCTCTGACATTCTGGGTTCTAAGGATCCTCTCAGCTCTGATGTTCTATTGTGTAGGATTCTAAATGAATGAAGCCAGAGCCTTTCCTGAGAGTTGATAGGAAGACAGAAGAATCATCAGAAACTAGGATCTTGAACCAGGCTAGGAGAGAAAACACTGGCTGGGGGTTTTCCAGGGGAAGGAGGAAAGAATACCCTTGAGCCCCTTAACTCTGTCCCCCTAGTTTGGTGTCCTGGGATTGACTGAAGGTCCATCCGTCTAACTAAGGTCCAGCCCTTCTCCCCCTCCCCTCGCTCCCCTAAGGGTTGGGGAACTGCAGGCCTTACTGCTCAGGGCTGCCTCCATCTCACTCCGGGAGTTGGCAGCATGGTACCAGGTGACCAGCAGGCCATCCTTGTGGCTGATATGCCCATTGCTGAGAAGGTAGTCCATCATGTCACCATCTGGGCGACAGCTCTCACAACCTGGGAATGGGTGAATCATTTGTTCTTAGTCAAGGGAATGGATCGGCAGCCATTGTAGTGATCTTAAGAGGAAGGGGCACTGACCTGGGCACTGACCTGGGTCCTGACCAGGACACCTTTCTTGACTTTGCCATGAAGTCACTCTTACTTTGGGCAATTCCCTTCTGAGTCATTGCTAGGTTGGAAGAATCTTGGGGAGAGGGACCCAAAGCTATATAAACTTTTACTGGGAAGAAGGAAATGAAGTGAATCAAACTCTTGCCAGGAGAAAAACTTGGGAAGGGCAAGAGGAGAGCTACATGTAAGTAGTGAGTTTCCCATCATTACAGGTCTTCAAGAGGGGAGGGCTCCCCTCACTGGAGGCTGGATCACACCTTGTCAAGGATTCAGTACAGGGAGCTCCTGGTCAGGTATGGATTGGACTTGATGATGTCTGGAGTCCCTTCCAACTCTGAAATTCTGGGGTTCCTTGGAGAAAAATCTTGGGAAAGGGAGGGAAGAGGCAGAGCCGATCAGATCCTTCCAAGGGGGAGAGGGTCTTAGAAGGAGATCTAAGCCAGTGAGAACCTTACAGAGTCTTGAGAATGGGGGTGGAGTATGGCCAAGATAATCACAATCTCTCTTGGGCAGAATCCTGGAGAGGGAAAAGGCAGGAGGCTGAGCTAATTAGAGCTTGACTGATTTTAATTTGGGAGATTGCAGGGGGGAGGATCGTGGGGAAAGTCAAGGCAGGGAGCCCAGGCAATTGGAGCCTTGCTGGGGAGGAATGGGGGGAGGTATCCTGGGAAGGGGGAGGTGGAGGAATAGTGACAGCCAAGAACTCTGCTGGCAAGAATGTTGGGGAGGAGATGAAAAGGGTCCACGCGCCAATCAGGACTTTTGCTGGGAGAGAATCCAGAGCCCCAAACTGGGATTTTGACACCTGGAAGAAGCAGCCCAAACTTCACTGGGATCGAAGGCATCGATGAGGCCCTCAGCTGGAGTAGGGCATGGCTCGGAGGGCAGGGAGGTGGCCGCAGTGGGCCTGGGGCTGGAAGGGAGAGACTGGCACGAGCTCCACCTTCTTGCCACCCCAAGAAATGCCAGTACTTTTGCTTCCTTCTTATTTGACACCCTGAGGCAAAACTTGGGCCCTCACCCTTAACCTTGGGGAACATCATGGGAAGGAAGGAGGACACCTGAGCCAGACTAGGTGGGGTGAAGAGTGGGGGAGCCGTGGGGAGAGGAAAAGAAAGGATCTGAGCCAATCAGAATGCTTTTGGCAGGGAGAGCCCCTTGCCTGCACCTCCTACCTGGCTGGGAGCTGCGGCTCTGGGTCAGGCTGACTGCAAGGACTATGGCAACCACTAAAACCACCCCCATGCCTCCTGCTACTGCCCAGGCCTTCCTCGGAGCCATGGTGCCCTCTTCCACAGCTGGCTCGGTCAAGGTCCTTGGCTTAGCTTCTCTCGCAGACAATATCTTCCCTTCTGGCTGGGGCGTGGATGGATGGGAATCCAGAGGCTCGTGGTACATCTGCTGGAAGAAGGAGAGAGCTCCACGTATCAGCTTGGAGCACTATATGAAGGAGGCCCCTCCTTCTGCCCTCCTTCTTCCCAGCCCCTTAACCTTTGGGTCAAGCAGAAAATCCAGACTCCCCACCCCTCGCCCTTCCCTCGCCAGGACTGTCCTTTGACTCACAGTGTGCCAGACTATCAGGAGGAGAAAAGCAGCTGCACAGGGTCCCCTGTGCTTTAGCTGGGCAGCTGAGTGGGCAGAAAAAGGGACTGGAGGACCTTGAAAACCAGAACAGACATGGGGGAAAAGGGGCTGGCAGCTGTACAAATGTCACCCAGCCCTTTAAATATAGCAGTGTTGGACAGTAGCCAAGAGAGCTCTGGTCTTGGAGGTGGTTAGGTCCAGAGGTTTAGGGGTGCTGGGACCCCAAAATCACAACATGCAGGTCCTGCCCGAAAGAATTCGACCCAAGTCCCTAGGGAATTATGTCACAGCTTAGGAAAAACTTTTCCAGGATTTACATCTCAAATTTAAATTTGTCCTGGTGTAAAAAGCCAATGTTAGAGATTATTTCTATACACTTGCAAATTCTCAACAAGACAGAACCCAAACAAGCTTTTTGGCAAGTTTGCACATGAAAACAATAACCAACAATAGCCAAATTATTTTAGTGGTAACCAAATTATAAAAAGTTGCTTGACATAATTCCCTGATGCCAAACAATTAGCTCAATTTTCTCCCACACTTCTGGGGGAACATGAGGAGGTCTGGTGCACAGAGGGAAAACGGAGATGGGAGGCTTAACTAGAGAAGATTGGCTCCTCAAATTCACCATCAGGTCCCTTCCAAACAAAAGGGCAGGGCAAGAGAAGAGCATAAGGAGGGAGTATTCAAACAGATCCTCAAATTGGCAGGGGAAGGGGTATGCCTGGAGATATCCCCTAGTTTTCCCTTCAATGACCATGACCAGATGGGTTGAGGGGTGGGTAGGGCCAGAGCAACTGTTTAAAACAGAGAACATGGGGCAGCTAGGTGGTGCAGTGGATAGAGCACCAGCTCTGGAGTCAGGAGAACCTGAGTTCAAATCTGGTCTCTGACTAGAGACTTGACATTTTAGTAGCTGTGTGACCCTGGGCAAGTCTCTTAACCCCAATTGCCTTGCAAAAAAACAAACAAAAACAAAAAAAACAAAAAAACAACAGAGAACATAGCCATGATAAAGAGGGTAACCTTACCTTCGGCCTCGATTTTTGCCCAGGACTTGGAGAGAGAGATGGAGAAAGTGGGAGTGCTCCCTTGTCATTCCCAGTCTTGAGAAAACTGGAGAATAGGGTACTGGGGAGGGGCGACTCCACCACTTTTCCAACCCCAGGGACAATCCTTCCTCCAATGTCCCTCATGGTCACATCTTGGGCATGGTCCCAGAGGCATTGGTCATGGGGGCTCTCCCCGGGGGGGCGGTGCCCTGGAGGGGCATTCCTTGAACCGATGGGCTGCCTTGTGGCCCTCACCACCTGAGTTGACAGTCTTCCTCTGAGGGGGCACCCTGAAGGGACACTCCTTGGACCAGTGACCCTCCTGGTGGCATTGAAAGCAGGTTTTCCCACTGCAGGAGTTGCTAGAAACACCCTTGGGTCTTTTCCTGGCCATGACAATAGCCAAGAATTGAGCATGTTCTCTGTCTCTAGCCCTTTCCCTTCTTTTTCTTTCCTCTGCTGCTACTAAGTCTCTGTTGTTGAAAACTCCAAAGGCCATCTCCAGTAATCGGGCCTGAGGTGTTTGGGGTCCCATTGACAATTTCTGCAGTTTCTTCCTAATATCTGGGGCAGATTAATTAATGAAATACATGCTAAGGATTGTTGCTCCTTCTATAGAGTCAGGATCTAAATTTGTATACTTTTTAATAGCTTCTACTAGCCTGTCTGGGAAAAGGGTAGGGTTTTTCTTTTCTCCCTGAGTAATTTCCTTAATTTTTTGAAAATTTACTCGCTTTTGAAATGCAGTTCTTAGGCCTCCTAGCTGGCAAATTATCACATAGTCTCTCTTTGCCTGTCCTCACTCTTCTGATAATCCCATCCTGGGTCAGTAGTGGGAACAGCAGTTGTTCCTGTGGGGTATTTTGTGGGGTTATCGATAGTAAACCGATCCCCAGTCAGAAACTCACAGCTGGGTGGGCAGTCCCCCAGTGCCTCTATCTTGTGCGGGGCTTGCACATGGATGATAAAGTTGGCTCAGGATGCAGTAGGAAGAAGAAAGGGGGCTGGCTTTAAGCTAAGGAAATTAAGTAGTCCTTTCAAAGATCCTGGGTTTCCTCTTGACACGAGAACATTCAATGTGCCACTCCATGATTTGAACTTCCCCTTGGAAAGGACTTGCGCCTGGGGTTGACAAAAGGATAACCTCCCACTGCCCACATTCCAGTGACTCCCTCTTTCATACCTCTCTCCTACTTGGACCCTTCGAAGGGTTAGATTCTCCTGGAAGTGAAACACACCCAAGTCTGTAAGAGGCAATATGTCCCAAGAGTCCTGAGCCAAGCTAATGATGCACTGGTATACTGTCCTTACTGTACTTATTTAATGGAGCTTTGAGTGTTGGCCAGCCCTTTGATCTTGGGGATCACTCATCACTCAGACCTAACTGTGGTCCAGCTTGTAAGCCCATTGCTTTATTAGAGATCAGACCCCTCCACACATGGACAGAAGTCTGCACAGAATGGCCAGTCATAGAGAGATTGGGATCTGCCCTGAAGAACACCCACCTTCATCAATCACCTACTATGTTCCAGGCACAATACCACAGAAGATACAAAGACAAAAGCAAAACAGTCTCCTGCTCTTAAGAAGCTTATAGTCTAACGAGGGAGACAACAAGCAAAGAAGCTATATACGTGTTAACTAGGAGATAATTAACAGAGGGAAGAATTAAGAGGAGCTGGGATTTTAGGAAAGAGTCTGGGGTACTGGGAGGATGGTATCGTCCTGCACAGTAATAGCAAAGTTTGAAAGAGAGGAGGGTTTACAGGAAAACATTGTACATGGTATCAGCAACTTTGTGCAATGATCAACTATGAGTGACTTAGCTCTTCTCAGCAATGCAACAATCCAAGACAATTGCAAAGGACTCATGATAGAAAATGCCGTCCACATCCAGAGAAAGAATTGATGGGCTCTGGATGCAGATCGAAGATTACTACTTTCACTTTCTTCATTTTTTTCATGGTTTTTTTCCCCTTTTGATCTGTTTCTTCTTTCACAACTGTAACTAATGTGGAAATATGTTTTACATAATTGTACACATATATAATCTATATCAAGTTGCCTACCATTTCAGGAAGAGGGGAGAGGAAGAAAGGAGGGAGAAAAAATTTGGAACTCAAAATCTTGTAAAAATGATCGCTAAAAATTGTCTTTACATATAATTGGGGGAAATACTATTTAAAAAAGAGAGAAGGGCTTAGGGGAAAAGATAATAAGATCAGTTTTGGATATATTGAGTTTAAGATGTCTAATGGATGTCCAGTTTGAGACGCTTGAATAGCTGTTGAAGATGCAAGACTGGAGGTCAGCAGAGAGGTCAATGCAGGATAGATAAAATTAAGAAGTATAGAGATGATCATTAAATCAATAGGAAGGGAAGGGGGATGAAATAAGGATTTAGGTAGTACCTACTATGTGCCAGGCACTGTGCCATGTACCTTTAATTTTTTAAACATATTATTTCATTTGATTCTTATAACAACTCTATGCATTAGGTGCTGGTATCATCCCCATTTTACAAAGAGAAAACTGAGGTAAACAGAAGTTAAGTGACTTGCCCAGGGTCACATAGCTAGTATCTGGGGCAGGAGTTGAACTGAGATAGTCCTGATTCCAGGCCCACCACTCTAATCACTGTGCTAATAGTTGTTTCAGCACCACAAGATCACCAAGTGCAGTAGTATAGAGGGAGAAGAGATGACTGAGCCCTGAGGGACACCTCTGGTTACAGGGCGTGATCTGGAGGAGGATCCAGCAAAAGAGGCAGAGGAGGAGCGGTCAGAGAGGGAGGAGGAGAACTGGGGGGGGCGGCTTGTCTACAAAACCTGGAGAGAAGAGAGGGTCAAGGAGGAGAAAGTGATCACCAGGGTCACAAAGACTGCAGAGATGTCAAGGAGGAGAAAAGGACACTGAACCTGGCCACGAAGAGGTAACTGGTAACCTTGGAGAGAGGTGTTTTGGTGGAATGTCAAAGTCAGAAGCCAGACTGTAAGGGGTTGAGAAGAGAGTTAGGGAAGAGAAAGCAGAGGTACCAGCTGTAAATGGCCCTTTCCAGGAGTTCTATGGGAACTCTACGGAAGGATTTCTGCCTTCTACAAAAGGCAGAGGAGATACAGGACAATGGTTAGCAGGGATGGAAGGGTCAAGTAGGGGCTTTTCAGGATGGGGGAGACATGGGCATGTTTGTAGGCAATAGGGAAGGAGCCAGTACAGAGGGAGAGATTGAAGATAAGTGAGAAAGTGAGGATGATAGAGGCGATAATCTATTGATTACTATCTATTGAACTGATTCACCAAGGACTCAGGATGGATAAGAAAAGACAGAGTGGTTGGTGCAGGGGAGTTGGCCTGGAAGAGAACTGAGGGGTCAAGGGATTGGGGGTCGTGATGTAGATGAAGAGTAGGATTTGGTAAGGGAAGGCAGAGGGAGAGGTGAAAAGTCAACAGATTACGGTCAGATAATGAGATTTCAAAATTCTTGAACATGGAGGAGGTGGTACTGTAAGTGATAGCCAGTTCAAGAGGATGACCATCTTTGTGTATGGCCAAGAGGGGGTGGAGGAGCAGGTCACGGTAGGTGAGTAGGTTGAGGAATCAGGTGGTTAGTTTGAGAGACAGTCATTATGTATATTAAAGTCTTCCAGTATGAGGGCAGGAGGGGAAGAGAGAAAAATTACGTGCCAAAGTCATTGAGGAATATCTGGAGGTCTGTAGACAACAGCTACCAGGATTTTGGTCGGGTGGTAGATATGAATTGTGTGAACCTCAAAGGAGTAGAGGTTACTAAGTGATGGAGGTAGGGGGAGAACCCAGAAGTGGCCATGGTGAGCAAGGAGTATCCTAACTCCCCTCCATTGACCAGTGAGCCCAGAAGAATGACTGAATGTGTAGCCAGTACTGGAAAGGGTGGCCAGGGAGGTTCTATCTATCATCAGGAGAGAACCAGGTCTTGGTGATTGCTAAAAGGTGGAAGGAATGAGAGAGGAAAAGACTTAAGATGAAGGCAAATTTGTTGCCTATGGAACCGAGAACACAGCGGGTAGTGTTTGGTTAGGACTTTGGGGTGGGAAGGGGATAGGAATAAGGAGTCAGATGGTGGGGTTGGAGAATGGGGTTTGGATGATCACCTACAGGGGTTCAGAGTCCCTGGGATGTGTTGCTGCAGCAGTTAAGTTGTTCAGTTGTGTCCGACTCTTTGTGACCTCATGGACCACAGCATGCCAGGCTCTTCTATCCTCCACTATCTCCTCATGTTTGTTGATTCCATGACACCAACTATCCATCTCCTGCCATCCCTTTCTCCTTTTGCCTTCAATCTTTCCCAACATTGGGGTCTTTTCCAATAACTTCTGTCTTCTCATTATGGGCCAAAGTAATTAAGCTCCATCTTCTGTATTTGATCTTCCAGTTAATAGCCTGAACTAACTTAAGTATTGACTGATTTGATCTCTTCACTGTCCAAGGAAGTCTCAAAAGTCTTCTCCAGCATCACAATTCAAAAGGGTCAATTCTGCAGCACTCAGCTTTCCTAACAGTCCAACTCTCATGACCATACATTGCTACTGGGTAAACCCTAACTTTGACTATATGGCCCTTTGTTGGCAAGGTGACGTCTCTGCTTTTTGGTGTACTGTCCAGATTTGCCATAGCTTTCCTTCCAAGGAGCAAGCATCTTTTAATTTCATGGCTGCAGTCATCATCTGCAGTGATCTTTGAGCCCAGGGTTATAAAAATCTGACACTGCTTCTGTTTCTTCTTCCTCTATTTCCCAGGAAATGATGGGTCCAGTTGCCAAGATCTTAGTTTCTTTAATGTAATCCTTCATTGGGATGTGTAAGTCTGACCAAATGTAAGAATGTTCATCATTGAGTGGAAAGCAAAACAAAACATTTCAGAGGAGGCTGAAGATCAGGCTGGACACCAGGGCAGCTTGAGATGGAAGGTCAGAGGTCAGATGGAAGACTCTGTGACTCCTCTTCCCTCCTCAGGCAGTAGATGGGGCAGTGAGATGGGAGCCTAGCTCCCCACTGACTTCTCTCTTACT